GCCAGGATGGTCTCGATCTCCTGACCTTGTGATCCGCCCGTCTCGGCCTCCCAAAGTGCTGGGATTACAGGCTTGAGCCACCGCGCCCGGCCTTAGTGCTATTCTTAGGGGCAAAAGAAAAAAACACTCTTCCATCGGAATCCCATTCCAGATACTTCTTGAGATAAAAATGGCAAGTGCCTGCCGAGTTAATGAAGGGAAAACACTGCTGGGTGGGTTTGAGGTCACACTGAGCCTGGCTAATACTAGAGATCCTGGGAATGTTTGCTAACTCAAATGAATCAAACGGTGACATGATTATTTGTTTAGTTGATAGTTGTCTGTGTCCTGCAGAAAAACACAATGCAGAGGCCGGTTTGTATCCTGATCAATTCATCACGGAACTATTAAAAGTACTAAATGATTTAGGATGAAAGAGCCTTTGGTTTAACTTCATAGTTTAAAAACATGATTTGAATAATTTCATATAGTTTTAGTGTGGAATTTTGTTGCGTACTTTAGCATTTAATACCTTCCTTATGTTTGCTATTTTCTCTAGCCCGGAGTCGTCTAAGAGGGTACCTTACATTTCTGCTTCTGGTTGAGCGTCGTTGTTCATGCTTATAATCCTAGCACTTCGGGAGGCTGAGGCAGGAGGATCACTTGAGCTCAGGAGTTTGAGATTAGTCTGGGCAACATGATGCAACCCTGTCTCTACCAACAATACAAAAACTAGCCAGGCATGGTGGCACGCACCTATGGTCCTAGCTACTCGGGAGGCTGATGTGAGAGGATCTCTGGAGCCCAAGAAGTAGAGGTTGCAGTGAGCCATGATTGTGCCGTCACACTCCAGCCTGGAAGACAGAGTGAGACCCTGTCTCAAAAATAAGTAAAAACATTTCTCCTTCTGGAAGAGCTGAAATGGGTGATACCCATATGACCATATTTATCTATGGTGTGCAGGGATATAAGAAACATCCCAGTTTAACAAGGAAATTCTTTAGGGGGAAAAGTTACATTACTTTTCATCATATGAGAATGTAGTGATTTGGGGGTGGGGATTCTGTGTTGCTGCATTTTTACCACTAGAGGGCGACATCAGCTATTTTCTTGTTGCTACGTCTATATTTCCGCCCCCAGGCAAGTGGAGAGCAGGGTTTCTCAACCTGAGCACTACTGACATTTTGGGCCAGATAGTTGTTGGCTCTCAGGGCTGTTTAGCGCTATTCCTAGCCTCAAACCACAGATGACAGGAAGCACCACCCCCCACCAGCCCTGCTGGTTGTCATAACCCAAAATGTCTTCAGATGTTGTAAAATATCCACGGAGGTCAAAATCGTTCCTGATTGAGAACCACTGATCTAAGAGGTCTTTTTTTAGAGCAGCAGTTCTCAAACTTTTTGGTCAGAGAACTCCTCAACACTTAAAATGTATTCAGGATCCAAGGCCGGGCGCAGTGGCTTATGCCTATATTCCCAGCACTTTGGGAGGCCAAGGCGGGCGGATCACAAAGTCAGGAGTTTGAGACCAGCCTGGCCAACATAGTGAAACCCCGTCTCTACTAAAAAAAAATACAAAATGTTAGCTGGGCGTGGTGGTGGGCGCCTGTAATTCCAGCTACTTGGGAGGCTGAGGCAGGAGAATAGCTTGAACCCAGGAGGCAGAGGTTGCAGTGAGCCGAGATTGCGCCACTGCACTCCAGTCCAGGCAACAGAGTGAGACTCTCTCTGTCTCGAAAGAAAAAAAAAATGTATTCAGGATCCCAAAGAATTTCTGTTTATGTGGAATATAGCTATCAATATTTACCATATTAAAAATTAAAACTGAGAACAATTACATATTTGATTCACTTAAAAATAAGAATAAGCTTGCTATATGTTAACATAATGAAATGTTTCATGTAACTGTATTTAATACTATATACATACTCATGTTTGCCCATTTAAAATACATACCCAGATATATAACTGTGTGTATTTATATATGTATATATAATATTTATATGGATAATTATAAAATAACTGTTTTCCAAAACAAAAAATTTATTGAGAGGAATTTTATATTTTTGCAAAATAATGTCTGGCATGATAGAAGATAACTAGATTCTCATATCTGCTTCTTTATTCAATCTGCTGTGAAATCATATATTGTATAGCCTCTGGAAAATTTTGT